ATATGAGCTAAATAAAAAATATCTATTCACTACCTGTAGAACCGCAAGTTTTTTTTTTTGTAACTGTTTACGGCCCCGTTATCATTATTGTACATACTCTCAAATGGTTTAGACAAGCGGTTCATTCCGAGCGCGAGTGGAGTCGCTCAAAACGGCGATTGTTGAACTTCTTCACCTCCTCAGCGATGTTTTCGTTCACAGTGAAGCTCTATTTGGACATGACGTCAAGAAGGTGGTGCAGCAACCGATAGATGTAAGTGTTAATTTTTACCATATTCCTTTTATTTCATTTCTTTATGGTTGTTCACATTACCGCTCTACCTTTTACCATACGCCCAGGGCAGTTCGGCGACGGTGGAAGGGGCGGGGCGTATTGCTTCTCATAGATGTGTTGATCAGTCTAGATAGCATTTTCTTGTGTTTACACGTCTTACCATGGTGGCTAGACGAGTGCTCCAGCTTCAGAAGAGTTCAGTAGTGAAGCGGTGAGAGTACAAAATGCTCCCCCGTCGCGGGCTGCCCTCTTTGTAAGGAATACGTGACTTGAGAGAATGCGGTAATTGGGAGAATAGGTGACGAATAATCAGGCAGGGGTCGACTGACTTCGACCATTGTCAAGTCGCATGTTCCCCGATTCGTCTATCCTGTAAAGTCGCGAATTCTCCTGATCGATGCATATACTTTCCATTGTCGCGCACTCCTCCAATTCCTCACATCATGGATTCGCCACATTTATAATGTATGAGCAAGGTCTCAACGTCTAAGAAGAGTGCGTTCATGCTTTGCGGTCCGATCGCTTGTGTCGCCCACCGCGACCGAGGGCTTTCCACCGCCATTTGGTGGACTGTCACAGCGGCAGAACTCAATTGGACCAGCGCGCGAACGCGGTCCAACTTAGTTTTGCTGTCGCGTTGGTCCACCAAGTGGCGATGGAACGCCGCTGGACGTGGTCACACGATCCGATCGCTCACATAATGCAAGCGATTAGGTCACGAATCATGAACGCGCTCGAATGTAACAGCCAGTAACCATCCTGCTACAGACTGAACTTGTTCGCAGTACTTATCGTTCACAATAAACAAAGCCAGAGATATTAAGAAAAACTCTAAATGTCGTGTGCTAGTTGTAACGCTCCTGAAGTCGAAAACCTTCCTGGGAGCCCAGTGAATCCGTTTAGTTTGATCCAATGCTGAAATTTGTTGCTTCTGGAGCATTCTACCTAGTAAGCTCTTTTCAGAAATGTCTGGACAACTTTTTGGCTAGGTTGAAATCCTGGGAATACGGACTGGACAGTCAGCGACGTCCACGTTCTCTTGAAGATGCTATTGCGGTGTGTTCGGCTTCTGGTCAACTGGTGTTTGGACTGCAAGAGTTCAAAACGATGGTGTCGAATGTGGAACGTGAGCTCTTTACTCACTATGTTATAAAAGCAAATAAATAGGCGGAATCTTTTTCAATGCACTGAAATGGGGCGCGCGATGTGCCTCGGTAGGGGCTACTCTCCGAGGCAACAAAGCCACGTCATGCTACTAAGGTGATAGGGTCAGTGAGACGGTGATGGGTTCTGACGTCGACCGAGCCACGATAGAGTATGTCGTCACGGTGTCTTGATGAGAGAGTGCAGACGGGCAGATATTATGTGGATTAGCTGCGTTGGAGAGTGGCCCCTCCCGAAGTAAATATTGCATGAACAAATAAGACGGATAGCCTTTAATGCTTGGAGTTACAGCAACACTTTCCCCGAACATCAAGTCCGCCTTGAAATGGAACCGAGGAGTTTGTGATTTTGTGATGAAGTCAGCAATTGATCGAGTGGTTCCAAAGATGACTTCAAAAATGGAGGAAATTGTAAGTTTCTCAGATAGTGATTTTTCTTTTCGTGATCTTTGGTGGAGCTCAATTGCTGA